TGCTGAAGTGAGCTGCTTCCTTACACTGAGTTCTGCCCTTGCTTTGCCACTGTCTGGCCAGAACACTCACTGCCTTAATGATAAGTCTTTTGGGAAAGCTCAAGTTGAGTCCTTTTCAGCGAGTAACTTGAAGCACCTGACTGAGTGTCCAGTCAGTGGCAGAACTAGTGAGCTCTTGTCATGTAACTGAACCAACATGTTCCCCCTTTGGCCTCAGTAATGGGAGTTTAACATCAAAGCTGCCCATGTTCTCTGTACAAACTCTGCTTTTCATCTGGGGAGCACTTGTTGTTAGGTGCAGATTGATTTTCACACGGTCCCAAAACAGATGTTTTGCTTGCTCAGTTCTGTGTAATAGTTCAGTGGTGGGTGTTATTTGATAATATTTGTTATGAAACATGATTTCAGCAACTCCAGTGCAGTCTCATTAAGAATTAATGAAAACTGCAAAATCTGATGCTTGAGAGTATTTTTTTTTTCTCCAGTTGGTTCTTACCCTAAATGAAAAGACCAGTTCCTTATATTACTGTCCATGAACCCTTTGCCAGTTCTCTGCAAAGCCAGGCCAGTTTAGTCAGCTGATCCTTTGAAAATCTAACATTTGCTACGTGTCAGAGGGCACAGCAAAGGCACTGAACAGGTTTGAAGGTTTCCTCCTGTGTGGTTTGCAGTTTCTATCAACAAACAAACCTTTCCCTGTGAGTAAGCTCTGAAGTGACAGCTGGTTGCTGTGTTTGGAGCTGTGTGCTGTCTCTCTCCAGGCCACACTCCTCCCTGTGGAGACCATGCGGGTGGTGCTGGAGCGTTGCTACAATGACCTGCGGCTCCTCAACGTCTCCAGCAAAACACTGAAGGCTGAAGGCTTCTTTAGGAGCAACAAGGTACATGCTCTGGCTTTGAGGTTGTTCCTTTTGTGTATTTGTGGCCTTCCCTATTGTGCAGCATGGGTATCTGTATGGAGCTGATGAAGCTGTGGGTGCTGTGGGGTGTTACCTGCCCAGCACTGTGCTGCTGGCAGATGCTGTAGGCTGTGCAAGAACCCAAGTGTACCTAAGGGAGAGTGGATTGGCAGTCTGACCTGGGGCTGTTTCTCAGTGGTGTAAATGATGGTGAGGTTAACAACCTTGTGGTGAAGGATTTTAAGTCAGTCGTAGGGAGCAGTGATTGACACGTTGCTGTGAAACCTGCCTGTTTGTTTTCTGACCCTGCTCTCAGCATTAAACTCCTTAAAAATAATGTCAAAACTAAAAGGAAGGTTTTGGTGAGGTTTTGTCTCACATGTGGTGATTCTCACTATGCAGGTTCCCCCTAGACAATTTGTCTTACTGTTTTCAAAAAGATTCTATGAAGTGTTTCCAAGAACAGTGACTTAGTACTCCAATACCTTTGCCATGTGTTTACACATTGCCCTTTTTGCTGCAGTGGTAATAGCACATCCCTTAGCATATTCTGCACATCCTCTGGGTCTGAAATTTAAGCTCAGTATCAAGTCTTTTTAATGAAGAAAGATTAGTGAAGGATTTGATGGCTTATAGGTGAGGAAAACTGTGGTATTGACTTGTTACTCAGTTCCTTGGAGTCCTTTTGTGTTCACGTCACTGCACCACAGAGGCCCTTGACAAGGGGGAACGAGACATTGGATTTGCACTATTGCTTGCTCGTGTATCTGTTTAAAACTTTTCATGCTGCTCTACTAGAAAACAGAGCAGACTGTGCTGTAGTGGGGTCACTGGTGCCAGAACTGGTGCTGGTGTAGAGGTGAAGGCTGCACGTGAGGTGATTTCTGGGTGACATTGCTCAGTGATGTGTGCTCAGTCCTGTCTGTTGGCTCTTGTTGCTCTTGCTGTGATTAAAGTGTCACTTTGTGTTCAGGTGTTTGTTGAGAGCTCGGAGTCCGTGGACCGTCAGGTGACATACACAGATTCCCAGCTCTGGAAGCTCCTGGATCGCCATGCCAACACCATCAGGCTCTATGTTTCCTTGCCAGAACAGGCTCCTGCCTCTCAGTTCAGACGAGCAGCTTACCAGAAGTCTAGTGCGGGGGCAGGCAACCTGGATGAGGCCTGTGAGAGGGTAAAAGGACCTGTAGGTAATATGAAGTCTGTAGAGGCAATTCTGGAAGAAAGCACCGAGAAGCTGAAAAGCTTGTCCCTGCAGCAGCAGCAGGAGGGAGATAACGGAGACAGCAGCAAAAGCACAGAGGCCAGTGATTTTGAGAACATCGAGTCACCCTTAAATGAAATAGACTCTTCAGCATCAGCAGAGAACAGAGAACTTGAGAACCAGATCCAGGTTTCTGACCCCGAGAACCTGCAGTCGGAGGAGCGATCGGATTCCGACGTCAACAACGACCGGAGCACGAGCTCGGTGGACAGCGACATCCTGAGCTCCAGTCACAGCAGTGACACCCTGTGCAACGTGGACAGTGCCCCCCTGCCCCTGGCCAACGGGCTGGACTCGCACAGCATCACGAGCAGCAGGAGGTCCAAGGCCCACCAGGGCAGGAAGGAGACGTGGGACACGGCGGAGGAGGACTCGGGCACCGACAGCGAGTACGACGAGAGCGGCAGGAGCAGGGCCGAGGCACAGGACATGTACTTCAGGTCGGAGCCCTACGCCGCAGAGCAGGGCTCGGCAGAGGGGCACAAATGTAGGTACTCCTGCAAGAGGAACAGTGCTTGTTGCTGTCTCGTTCAGGTGCTGTGTGAAAAACTGACACTGCTGAAAAACCTGATTAGCTGAAAGCTAAGGGCAGTGCCGAGATGGGGTGGGATGTCGTGTTCAGCACAAATCTAGCCAGATTTTGATCTTGTAAGAAGTGATTACATATTTGAACAGTGGTTTCTTTTTGTTTGTAAGGAAACAAACGTGTTTCTGTGTGTTGGAAGTGTTTTCTGGAGAGCAGGCTGAGTGTTCTGCCTGTGAAAGGAGCAGAGCTGCATCTGGTGATGATTCACCTGTGTCACAATGCAGTCACTACTGTGGCTAGCACAGCAATAGTTCTGTCACCATTTAGACTAACACACCCGACAAGTCCTAGTCATTTGGCTGTGAGGGAAATTCAAAACCACCTGATATTAACAATTTAACCCAGCAGACTGTTGCTTCTCATCGGCTGAAGCACAGTGGGTGCAGTGAAACATAAGGCTGACGTGAAAATGTCCAAACGAGTTCAGTAGAAGAGTCATAAAAATAAATACTTAGACAATACTCTGCCTGTGTTTTGTAATTAGCAGAGTAATGATGAAAGAACAGCAAGGTGTAAGGGAGATAGTTTGAAAGGCAAATGTTCTCATGTCAATCCAGAAATCCTGAGGCAATAGCAACAGATAGAGTAAAATCTTCTGTGCTGATGTTTTGGGCTTTTTTGTTGTGAACAAACATGATAATTTCTAAAACCACAGAGAAATTGATTTGCTTCTACTAAAGTTTGAATAATATTTCTCCTTTGACTTGGAAGGATCATTCTTTGGGGCTAATTTTTCCCTGTTTTGTTTTGGTAGGAATAATTTGCAGTAACTGTGACTTTCCATAGCACAGTGTAGAAATGATTATCCTGAGGGGAAAGCTTTCATCTGTTTGTAGTATAATAACGTGAATTGATTTCTCATTCATATAATTAATTTCTTCAGTTAAATGTTCTGCACAGGAATTTGTTGTGGAGAGTCATGGCACGATATGCTCATACTGTAGTTTGAAGTTGTACACCAGTTTGGAGCTGCTGTGTCTCCCAGGAGTGTTTTCCTGCAGACACTTCAAGGACACCAGAGCTGGGAGAGGTTGCAGTAACACCATGAGATAAAATTTCATGTGGCCAGTGACTGTTGACTGACTCCTCAGTCCTGTTTTGCTGCAGTGGTAACTGGCTGTGTGGCAGTGGTACCTGGGAGTGCTTTTTGGGGGGAGCAGAGTGTTTCATGCCATTTTATCTCTGTTTTTGCTTAGGGCTGATGGTGCATGTTGATAAAAGAATTACACTCTCTGCCTTCAAGCAACATTTGGAGCCTTTTGTTGGAGTTCCATCTTCTCACTTCAAAGTCTTCAGAGTCTATGCCAGCAATCAGGAGTTTGAGAGTGTTCGGCTGAACGAGACACTGTCGTCGTTTTCTGATGACAATAAGGTTATTCAGAAGTTACCTTGAATCTTTAAAATATATTGGTACATGATAGGTGAAATTAACAGAATTTACAACTTTGGCTAACTTGCAGGTGAAATAATTTCAGTGGTCTTGGTAGTGTGTTGCAAATATAATTTGACACAGCTCTAACAGATACTCCTCTTGCCTTCCAGATAACTATTAGGCTTGGCCGGGCCCTGAAGAAGGGTGAATACAGAGTCAAAGTCTATCAGCTCTTGGTAAATGAGCCCGAGGTAAAGTGCTGAGTATCTCAGGATTGATTCATGAAAATATTAACATATGCATTGACTAAGGTTGTTCTTTGGAATACTGGGAGGGGAAGGTCCTTCTTTCCTCTGCATTTTCCTGCAAGCTTCCCTGGGTTCGGAAAGGGAACTGGAGATTGTTTCTGGTGTCTGCAGTGGGAGTGTGGTCTGGAGATCTCTCACGTGTATTTCTGCAGGGGAGCTGGGGGACAGATGAAGTGTTTCTTTGTCTCCCTGAGATGCAGGACAGTCACACAGCATTGCTTTCCAAGAGCAACTGTGTTTGCTCACGGTTGTGGCTTTCAGTGATGTTGTAGTGATCTAACTTGTCTCATTCATGTGCTGCAGCTGGTGCTTATCAGTGGTTAGGTGGGTAATAGTCCTCTCTGCCTGAAACACAAATGCCTCTGGTGCAGTAACACAGTTCACAGGTTGTTACACCTTCAGGGACACGAGAAGTGTACAAGTGGTGTCACTATGTAGATTGCAGTCCTTAAAAGTTGACTTTGCACTTTGTTTGGCCAAAACTGCAGAACACATGTTAGTGATGGATAGGAGTCTGGAGCTGAACTGATAGAGCAGGTAACAGGCTAAATTCGAGTCGCTTCCATGGAATGGAGCTCTAGTCTTTCTGGTCAACAGAAGCCAAAAAAGCATCTGTATTTATGGCTTATTTGGTCTGAGAGCTCCTTTCCCATCGTTTGGAGTGTGGCTGTCGTGGCAGTGGTCACAGGGCAGTATCTCTGTACTGCAGAGAGCTCCAGTGACCTGCCCAAGAGCTGCTGCGCCACAAATCGGTTCCCTCTCCTTTTGGTGGCTGCATTGCATACCTTGTTTCTGAGGAGCTTTCTACTGGTCATGTGCTGGCTGGGTGGGACAGGTCACAGAGCACAAACAGAGGCAGATTTTCGGGTTTGGTTTCAAAGGAGTCTGTCCTTATCCTCTTTCTGTTGGTGTTCACAGCCGTGCAAGTTCCTGCTGGATGCAGTTTTTGCAAAAGGAATGACTGTCCGGCAGTCCAAGGAGGAGCTGCTTCCTCAGCTTCGAGAACAATGTGGCCTAGACTTGACAATTGACAGGTAAGGAGACTGCAATCCATGGAAGTGCCCTGAACTCAGTCTGTACACATTTCTGGCCCTGGGCAGGCACACCACGAGCTTGTTTTCCTGGTGCTTATGGATGATTCAGCACTAAGAGCCAGTGGTCATACCTTGCTGTCAGGACCATGTGAGAACATCAGACTTGCTGCTGATAAACCTACCCAAACCTTGCATTAGTGAGCTGCATTCCAGTTTGGTCAGAAAAGACTCAGTTTTACTCTCTGGCAGAGCTAAGTTTGGGGAAGAGATAGACACTCAGTGTTTTCTTTGTGATGTGTTTATAGGTTTCGCCTACGAAAGAAAACCTGGAAGAATCCAGGCACTGTGTTCCTGGACTATCATATCTATGAAGAGGATATCAATATTTCAAGCAACTGGGAGGTCTTCTTAGAAGTACTTGATGGTAATGATGCATTGTCAAGAGAAAGTAAAGGGAATGTTAGAGATTGGTTTCCAGTCTTCTCTAAAGAAAAATGTACTTGCTCTTTTTTCCTTTTTTTGAAGAATTTTGCTGACTTTTTAATGGAATTTTTTTAGGAAGTAAGAGATGCAAAAAGACTTTAGAATGAGGATAAGCTCTGTGTGATGCAAGTGCAGATCTCCTGTGGGTGTGATGTGCTGAAGGTCTAATAGCAGTACTGTTTTGCAGGTTCATTGGAAGCCTTTGGGCACGCTAGGACTGTAGGCAGTGCAGCTTTTGGCTTATCTAACTGTAGTATGACCAGAGGCAGCTCTGGTACCCGAGGCTGATGCAGAAAGGCTAGAGGTAACACACTCAAACTCTGGAGGGTGGTGGGTGTGAAGGAGGGTTTAGTGGCAGGGGTGCAGTCAGTGTCTGACACCTGGAGGTCAGCAGGGAAGGCTTGTTTTGGTGAAGGGAGTGAAGGCCTCGTGCAAATGCCAGACCAGAGGTTGAGCCTCTGCTCAGGGGATGGATAATGCATGGATAACCAAGCTGGGCACGGTGAAAATTGTGACTCCTAGGAGATTCTGCCTGTGAAAGAGTCCATGAAAGGAGCTGATAACAGAGAAGTTCAGCTAAATCCCAGTCCCTTCTCCATCCCTGTTTTTTGAAGTATGCTGCTTGCAGCACAGAGTTACTCAGTGTGTGTCTGTAGTGCAGTCTTTCCTGTTAGAGTGTGTTTAAGCTGATGGATGCTTTGTGATGTTAGTAGAATAAATTTGTTTTTCTTTGCTAGGAGCAGAAAAGATGAAGTCCATGTCACAACTTGCTGTTCTGTCGAGACGGTGGAGGCCATCAGAAATGAAACTAGATTCTTTCCAGGAAGTAGTGCTAGAGAGCAGCAGTGTTGAAGAATTAAAGGAGAAGGTAAAATGTGTAATGTGATGGGGTTTCTTGTGGTGACCCAGAGCCATATTGATGCCCTTTGTTGGGAAGCACAAAGATGTCATAGCTACAAAAGTCTTGTTGCATGCTGATGTTTTTCCCCCAGGAACCTCTAACTTATCCCATCCTCTTACAAAGCCACGTGAATTACCAGCTTTACTGCTTAGTTTCACGTGGTGGTTTGGGATCAACATGTCCAGGTGAATGCATGCAAAAATGTCACATCTTTAGGTTTAAGCAGTGTAATAGTGTCCGTGTCCCTTAGCCCTGAAAAACTAAAGGAAAGCTAAGCTATTGTTAAATTTTTGTTCCTCCAAAATACCAAACCTTTCGGCCTCCTCGTGTCTGAATCTGAGAGCTGTTGCTGAGGGATAGTCCAAGTAAATTGAACTGTTTTGGCTGGAAAGGAATTTGGCTTTGGTATGGTTTGGTTTTGCTTCAGGCTGGAACCCTCCAGCAGGTAAGCAAACCTGTGCCCTCCCTGCAGAGAGCTGGAGTAGGAGTGTCCCCATTGAGGCTGTTTTGCTAATCCAGTGTGTCACAGGGCTCCACTCCTAGAGAGGTGTTTGTTCATTTGTGGCAATTCCCAGGTGTTGGAAGGACACCCTGGATGTTGAGGCCAGCAGAAATCCTGGTACAGGTAATTTAGGGACCATCACAGCAAGCATCACTTGTGGCACACTGGTAACTTCAGCAGTGTTAAAGTGTGTACCTTGCCACTAATTTTGTACTAATGCCCTGGCTCATTGGAGGACCTTCAGACACTGAGTGACTTCTGGATTTGGCAGGTCTATGGGCTTTATGTAGACACTACATAATGGTTTTTTTGGAATGGTGTTACATCTAACATTTTTCTTCACTTTACAGCTGAGTGAAATAAGTGGAATACCCTTAGAAAACATAGAATTTGCAAAGGTTAGTAAGTTATTGTGTATTTCTGTCTTTTAATGGCACAGGTGTGTGGTTGAGTTTTATTCTACTCACTAAATCATTGCTGCTTCTCAGGGCAGAGGAACCTTTCCTTGTGACATTTCTATACTAGAGATTCACCAGGACTTGGACTGGAATCCTAAAGTGTCTACACTGAATGTCTGGCCCCTGTACATTTGTGATGATGGTGCAGTAATATTTTATAGGTATGTATTTCATGACAGCATGATGAACTGTGCAAGAAAAGCTGTGTACAAGATTTGAGGGGTGATGTAATCAACAGGAACATGAAATACTCTTCTGTTGCCTTAAGGAAAAGCTGAAGTATTTATGCTCTTCAGCTTCGTAAGAACCTGACTATTAATTAAGAAGACAAGTAGTGCAGTCTTTCACTCAGTGCCCCCTCCCAAACCACTGAAGTGATGCTGAGTGCAGAGCTGGGTGCTGTGCTTGGGGCTGTGTCTGGAGTTAATCTCTCAAAATAGAACCACCCTGTCCCTTCTGGAGTTTGTGAGAGTCTTGCCAGAGGTTTGGGGGAGCAAGGGCTTTATTTTCTGAGTTTATTCCTTTGAGAAATTAGTATGGTTTCCTTGAAAAAAAGGCTGCTAGGATAGAAGTCTTGTTGGTGTGAAGGATGTTCAGCAGCTGGTGGCAGCCAGAGGCAACATCTGAGGACACAGAGCTTGGATATTGTCACACCTGCTGGACTTGGCTGGTGGGGCAACCTCATGGGCACATTGCTTCCTGGTGTTTTTCACAACTGCACGTGAGTTGTGGGGGAACAGCTGATGTTCTGTGCTGGTCTGGATGGAAATTATTTGTGAGAACACCCGGTGGCTCCTAGCAGGGGCTGCTGATGTGCTGCTTCAGCTTTGGCACTGTGAGCAAACGGAGCAGTCACAGTTGTCTGTAGTCAGAGAGGAGTATGGGCTTGTTTCTGAAAGAAACCAGTCAGCTGGAATGTGGAATGGCTCTGCTGGAAAAGCAGGTCTAGACAGATGGTTCGTTTCTGCAGAAGAAAGCAGTGTGTACAGGAATATTGCGCTTAGCTCTGTGGGTCTCACAAAGTTGCTCCAGAAATCTAATTCTGCTTGCTGTATTGATCCAAATTGTAACATGTTTACATTTTAGGGATAAAACTGAAGAGTTAATGGAATTAACAGATGAGCAAAGAAATGAACTGATGAAAAAAGAAAGCAGCAGACTCCAGAAAACTGGACACCGGGTAACCTACTCTCCACGTAAAGAAAAAGCACTAAAAATTTATCTGGATGGAGCACCAAATAAAGATTTGACTCAAGACTGATACTTGCTATAGCATTTTCCCTGGGGAATTTTTTTTGTTTCAAATCAAGAGGTTCACTACTACTGTGTAGTGCCGTTGGGCAGGACATTGATTAGGTGTGTGGCGCTCGGGCTGCCACGGCCACGGGGCCACTGCTTGACTTGGAATCATGTTGTGCACTATAGTCCAATGTACTGTAAAGCTAAAAGGGATGTGCAAATAAAAGATTAGAGCTAAAACATGGGCGGGGAGGGGAACGAGTGGAAATTGTTGAGGACAGTGTGCACATAGTAGCTAGTGAAACTAGCCTCAAACAGGATACTCATAGCTTAATAATAAAAGCTGTGCAAAGGCCATGAAAGAATCCTTTTCTCTGTTTGTTTCACTGATACACACATTACCTCATCAGAGAGTCTGAAGTAAATGTTAACACGTTGGTCTCGACAAGCAGCAGGAAGGGCTGGAGAGGGAAGTGCTGCAGGTGTCAGGGTGTAGGCTGTTCTTCCATGAGGCAGGCTGAGGGGTCTGCAGGGAGCTGCCAGCAGGCAGTGGCCCTGTCAGAGGTGCTGCTGGAGGGAAGTGGTTGTCAGGAGGTCACGAAGCCGACGAGCAGCTCCGTGTTACTGGGTTCGATGTGTAAATAAAAAATAAAATCTGCCCTGTCCGTTCGCCAGAACTGCAGTTCAGCTATTTACCATATATTTCTTTCACATATCAACATGCATTGTGTACATTTGGGAGTAATAGTTGCCTATTTAAATTTGTATTCACGTTCTGTCTGACATTGCTGGGTACTTTAGGGTTCAACTTCCCCTCGGTAATGTTTCTGTTCTGTTCCGCTACTTTTTTGTACGTTTTGTTTTGAAGACAAGTTTGCATCTTCTCCACCCACTGAAAGTCAGTTTGTTTTTCCCAGAGCTGATTCCATAGCTATATGTAGTCAAATATCGGGGCAACCTCTAACACCTCAACGTACAGACGTGGTAGTTCGGGTTGTGGTGCAAAGACTGATGCAGTCAACATGATTTCATTGCAAAGCCTAGGAACAGCAAGTTTTTGCTTCGGTCCATAAAGATCAATAGAGAACAATTCTCCATAGTTTTTGGAAAAACCACCTAATTTATAACAATCAAACAGATTTTGGAAAACTTTTTCATGCCAGATGCTGTTTACAACGATGAACATGCCAATAAAACATTTGTTCATTCTGTTGTGTTATTTTACTCATTAAAGGCTGTGTTTTTTGTTTGAGAAGTTAGAGTTATTTTGTGGAATCGCAGACTTTGCCGAGGCAGTGCTGGAGGTGTAAGGCTGTGTGTCTGTGTGCGTGTGCAGAGTGTCACAGGGAGTGGTTATAGCCTCTCTGCTGCTCCTCTCTTACTACATTAACACCAATTTGTTCAACTGTGAATTTTTCCTTTCCCTCTCCAGAACTGACTTTTTCCTCGGTGAAGCTTCTAACTCCTGATACAGCTGGTTCTGCTTCAGTGACTAAAAGGGATGTTCAGTCCCTGAACCTGCAGTTCCTCCCTGCATGTTGGCCCAGGGTTTAGTGAACCTAAAACTCCTGAGGGATGTGGCAGCTTGAGAACTGCACAGAGGAATTTCCTCGTTCTTCCTTCTCTGCTGGTCCTGTCCTGCCTCTTGTCCAAAAGGCAAAAATCTAGGCCTGGAAAGGAGAATGCTGCTTTCCCTGACCTGGCTGCTCTCATGAAGGTTTTTTTGCAGTTTCCCTGTTATGACACTGAATTCCTTCTCCTTGTATATGTGCTGTCTGTGGAGCACAGTGATTGCAGGAGGGTTCGAAAGGAAAGGTGCAGTCAGTGGGCTCTGAGCATGTGTCTGGGGGTGTGTGTTGGTGTGAGAATTGGTTGTGGAAATGAATCCTTAGTCAGACTATTCTGATGACTTACCCTCCCTGTTCATCATGACAGTGGTTATTGACATTCATCCAGTACCCACGGGGGTTGTTGGAAGGTGAAAGATGTGCAGGCTGCTAACACAGGCTGTTAGCTGCTCCTGTTCTTGGTGCTCTACTGTTCCAGGTTAGACATAAACAGTAGGGATTATCTGGGAGGAAGCACCATGGAGCTGGAGCCTCAGGGTGTGTTTCACCATGTGCAATAACAGGTGTTGAAGTTACACCCCAAAAAACTGTTACTCTTGGAAGAGCTGTTGTAGCAGAGTGGGGAGACAGCTGGGAGCTGGGGAGGTTGGGGGATCAGTTCTACTCTTAGCTTGCTATTGAGTTCTAAACTAACACCCTCTTAGGATTGTAATGATAATCACGTAACAGATTTATGTTTGTGAAGTGTATTAAAAGCATAAACCATTTCTCATAGATTTTTCTCTGGGTGTAATGGAATCCAGTAGGAGAGACACAAGCCCCTCAGTGCAAGAAGCTGTTAAGGTTGTTTTACTGCTAAACTGACCTGAGGAGTTGACCTTCACTGCCTCTGTGGCTCACAAGGGGTAGGTGATGTGGAATGTAGTCAACAGGTCCTTAAATCCACATCACCCCAGAAGGCACATTCGAGGGGTGCCCAGTGCTGCTGTGAGTGGCACTCAGATCTCTGTGTTGCAGCTTCGCTGATCATGTTTTCTAAAGGAAAAAAATTTTCAATCAATGACTACACCAGTTCAAAGCAGATGGTTCTTACCCTAGAACAATTCTAAACATAGTCACTTCCATAGTTACTAATAACTTAAAATTATTTACACTTATGTCTATTTTTTGAGTACAAGTATGAGGAAGTTTATTTCTGATGTACAAAGGGGAAGTTCTCATCCAGAAGAAACACAAGGTAGTTGTCGTTGGGCAGGAGGTTTGGTCCAAGCACTGACTGAAGTCAGCAGCAGCTGGAATGTGCAGGTTTGGTGCACAGGGAAGGATGATGCACCTTGCAGGCCGTGTTTATTGCACTTCTATCCAGCAGTGTGTGTTTAGGGGTTATGTAAGCAAGACACTAGACAAAAATTGCTAGAAATAACTAACTAAACTGTTTGGTGCTTGGACTTTAAATTTCGTCTCCCAAAAGCAGGTCCTGAGCCGGGTCAGGCTCAGGCTTCAAACCTGCCTGGTCCTCCAGGCTTTGCAGCTCCCTGCGCACGTCCCGCAGCATGCTGCTCTCCTCGTAGTCAGAAAGAAGGTCCCTGGGGATCAGGCTGAGGAATGGCATCTCATCCACCATGAGGGGATCTTCTTTCTCCTTAGCCCGGGTTTCGTTGGCAGAGAGCTCACACACAGACGTGCTGCTGTGGCTGTGGGACAGACAGACATCTGGTCATACAATAAGTACCTCACTTTGTGTTCTTCTGCTGGTGTCCACAAAATTCTCCCTTCCCTCCCCCCATGAAAGCATGTTAAATGCATAGCAGACCTACCCTAGCTGATTTCATGCACATCTGATTTTTACATGCTTGGCAGCTGAAGAGTTGTAGGTGAGATTTCTGCATGCAGAGCTAGAACAAAGACCCGAACAGCAAAAAACTAATCCAGGGACACAAACGGCAGTGGCTCCACCACAGCCTGGCCCTTCCACAGCCACTCATGGTGACTAGTCCTTGCTATTTTTGTCTTAGTGCCAAGTTAAGAAACATGATCACTAGCTTAAAAGGAGCAGAAACCTGTGAGCATGATACACTTGGTTCGTAACAGCTCCATTTGCTGCTGTTTTGAAAATCAGCTTCAGCTGCCTGCAAACATCCCCCAGAGGCTGCAGGAGCCCTGGAAGGGACAGGCATGATTTCTCCTGGCCAGGAGGCCCAATTTCAGCCCTCACCTCTGGGGCTGGCAGGTCAGGCCGCTCGCACACGGGCAGTGCTCGAGTGCCCCATCAGGCTCCAGGTCCCAGGTGATGAGGTTGAGAAGTCTGTTTGCAGGGTCGTGGCAGGGTTCACCTTCCTCAGGTAAGGGTGTGCAGACAGGGAACAGCAGCTCTGCGTGCCAAAGGACATTCATTTTATGAGAAGTTGTTAGCTGAGATGATCTCACCTTTAGTCTGCAGGCAAGGTACAAAAAGACAGACCTGACCCCTTTTCCAGTCCCCTTACACATCAGGGAGCCATCGCTTCATGTCCTTTCCACTAGGTGGGAGTAAGACATTTGAAGTTTATGCTTAATGAGCACGATCAGCTCCTGCGGCTTCACGCAGAGACTACTGTGAGGGCCTTAGTATGGCACAACTCCATCCCCTGGAGATGCCAGAGGCTGTTCTAAACCCATGAAAACCAACATCACAGCGAATCTTTGCAATGTGCAGCGTTAGTGGTTTAAAATCTGGATAAGGAAATAGCTCCACATTTTACAACTGTTATTTTTTGTTACTTCTTTACAGAGGTTCCACATGCAGGGCAATTGTTCAGAGACTAAATGATGAGGTTCTAAGAACTACAACTCACACATTTATTTATTATAACCTTCTCCCACCGGCAAAGCTGTCTGATGGCACTGGGGGCTTGGTACCCTGATTTCTGCACGGGGTGAATTTCAGCCTGGGTAAGACATTAGAAGGCTGTGTGCTCTGGGTTTCCTCCTGCTAGTAACTTATACTGTCAGTCTGGAATTCAGCTCTTCCAGATGTTCCTATCACACCTCCCTTCCTCCTCTTGTCTGTGTGCACCTCATATGGCAGAATCAAATAGGAGAGGAAGTCAGAATTTAAGTTTTTAAAACAGACTTGGTCAAAACACACATCTCTGTGTGTGTATACACAGACACATTTGCTTTGATGTATATGACCTATCAGTTCCCAATTCCAAAACAGGTTCTGTTTTAAGCAGTGAATACTCCAGAGCTTGCTACAGTTTTATAAAATACATATACAGCTTTATTAGGACAACCTTTTGCAATACTCCACAGATGGAGAAAGGCCTTGAGGTTAGGCTTAACCTGTAAAAAACCTGCTCTAACCAAACCTTGCTGAAACCAAACTTAGTTAACATCGAAGGTCCATTAATTGCTCAGCATTAACATGGCAAAGCTGACAGTTAATGTGTATTTCCTTGCCTTTAAATGGTGTTGGAGCCTTCTCCTTTGTTTCCCTGAAATGCCCTAGCAGCCTGACCCACCAGCAGGGACAGGCACTCCAGCTGTCAGTGAAGGCACAAGGTCAGCCCCTGCTCATAGTAAGAGCCAGGAGAAAGCTAGAGAGGTACCTACCAGGCGTAGGGAGATGGTTGGAATTGTGTCCTGTCACTACAAAATTCAGGTGAACTCTGATAAATGCAGCAAGGAACTTAAAACTTTGTGTAGAACAGTAGAAGAAGCTGGACCCAAGCCAGACAGAATCTGGGATTGATTTCAGGCCTTAGGCCTTCTCCTCCTGCCCTCCCTTCTGCAAATCAAGTTTCACATTCCCACGTGGACTGACCACATAATCTGGGACATCATTCCTCTATGTATCCTGGCTGTCCAGTCAGCACTGCATGGTGAGGTGCCCTGAAAGGCTAGGAAGGAATCTCAGGGCCCTGGAAGGAGTGTGAAATGTGTCTGAGCCTGATTCTGGTGTGCTGCTCACTGACAGGCAGGAGAAGCCACTTCCAGTAATCTCATTCATCTGTGCATTTTTAATGCTTTCATTTTTGCTCTACTGGGTGAAAATTTGATACAGAACTCTGCTACTTTTAAATTTCTGATCTCCTTAAGAAACAGTTCATTTTTGTGCTTTTTTTTCTGGTCTCATCTGTAGTGTGCAACAGGCTCCTCTTTCACCACTGTGCACTCCTGTCAGACATTTCTCATCCCAAACTCTATCAAAGTTCTATAATGAAGTCACCACAGTGCATTCCACAGGCCAAGGAAGAATGACCTATTGGTTCTGTTGAGATTTCACCACTTCCCCTGGGCAAAAGAGCTTAAACATTAATGCTCCTGCATTAGAAATGCATAGGACAAACCCCTCATACCTTTGTGGAATGCACAGCAGCTCCCAGGGTTACAGTCGTGCTGGTTCTCACAAATGGTGCCGTTCTCTCCTCTGGAAGTGGATTTCCTGCACTCACCCCAGACACAGAGCTGGTCCCCACAGCACTCCACATCCCGGGAGCAGGGCTGGCACAGGGGGCAAGCACAGGAACAAACTGTGAAATACACATAGGGCATGTTCTCACTGTTCAAACACAACTGCTTCGGGGCTCAGTTTCAGCAGACTCCACAGCAGTTTCCTCTCTGCTCATTCCACTGGCAGCCTACACTGTGTTAGTTTACTCTGTCCTTGGGCCACCCAACACGGCGAGCTTGAGGCAGGAGAAGCAGAGGCAGGATTTAGAGCACAGGAAAACAGAAAGCTGAAAATTTAGTTTTGTTAACAGGCTGAAAAACCCCACACAGTGCAAAACACTGCACATCCATTTTCTGCCCTCATGCAGAAAGCTTTGCAGATTCTTTTCTACCAATTTTGACTTGCTGACATTAGCAACAATAACTTACTGAGTGTCTAAAGGTCAGATAAAATCACATTTCATTCAGGACTTACTGTGTGCTGGGTTTTGCAGAGTTGACACTTGTATTCAGAGGTGGAGAACTGGCAATACTTCCCTGTTTCACAGTCTTCATCAATGATACACTCCTGAGGAAAAGGATAAAAGCATAATTTGCCTCTGTGTGACAAAAATCCATACCTCTTCTTGAAATACCAGAAGCTTTTGATTTGATTATATTTCTTATTTGGGAACCAAGGAAAAAAAGCTTGCTTTGGTTCTTCATGCAACCAGTTCTGTAAGAGACCAAGGCTATCTCTCCCTGGCTTAAATTGTTAGGTGTCTTCACTGCTTGTACACATATTAATAGCAGAAACCCCACGAAAATAAGTTATCTAGTTCTGTAGTGCAGGGTAGGCTCAAGCTAGCAAAGACTTTTCAAAACTGGAATAATTTCCTGGCCTTAACCAAAGTGTTCATGAGAGAGGGACACCTGAGTCTCCATCTGAAGTTCACACTCAGAATACAGTTTCCTTAGAATCACAGAATTCCAGGATTCCTTTCCCAGAGGCCCCTGAGCACTGTGGCAGAGACAGCTCTTCTTTCACTCATGCTGCACAGGGTAAATGCACAGACTGGTCAGAAACCCTTCCCAGAACACAGCTCTGAAGTGAGGGTAGTGCAGAGAGTACCTGTGTATGTTTGTGTACCCCTCACCTGTCTGGGTCACAGGGAGGGGTGATTTCCCACCTAATGGTTACCTCTTTCAAACTGGGTGATTAACCCTGTTCTCTAAAATGGCTTTTTATTTTTTTTTGCTTTTCCCCAGGCTGGAAACTAGCTTACCAACAGAATAAATCATGGCACTAAGTCACCTGTACTCCATACTGGTTTGTACCAGCATAAAGTTGATGTATCTTTTTGCTATTAGAAGGAGAGGAGAGGGAGAGGAACACAATTTAGCAAGAGGGGAAGAAGAAGTCTTTTGGTGTGGGACTCATTAGTTCAGGAGAAAGCAGTGACTGGAGAATGGCAGCTTTGGTGTGAGGTGATTTTAGAGCTAGAGAGAGAGAGTTATTCCATGAGCTTAAAAATGATTATGACAGAAGTCCCTGAATTCTCTGAGGTAAGACGTGACTGCTCTCTGGCAGATATTAATCTCACTTGCTGGAGTAGATCAGCTGTAGTCTGTGCAACATTTATAGAAAGTTTCCACTACGTTTTTAATTTTCTTCCCCAGATTAAAGCTTGTGTAGGCCTCTTGCCTGTGTGAGGCAAGGCAGCTCTGCACCAACTGCAGTGCCTTGCCCCAGCTACCCATTTTGGCCACCTTGGATGTTCTCAAGCAGTTTGATTGCCCAGAACAGACACCGCCCAGGGCCTGTCTCTTTCCCAGTCAATGACTCAATACTCAGGTTATATGTTTAGAATTCAGGAGTCATTTTACCTCTTTAAGAAATTGGTATTGCTGGGTGTCGAATGCTATAAACTAACAGAATGTTTTTGCAACTTCATTATTTCACTACAGTGTGTGTTCTGCTTTTTTTTTCTTTTCTGTTGCTACATAATCAGGTGGATCAAAATCCAAATGCTATACAGAATGTTGGAGGCTTTGTGGTTCCAAATGAGCAGTCAGCCCCTTCCCCTCAGCAGCCACACTCTTCTAGGCCAATTTTGTTTGCAGCTTTGTCAGCTTCTTTTATGAATCCCTCTGTATAAGCCACATGGAATAGACTATACTGTTTCATTCCTGTTCCATCCACTTTCAGGCAAACAGCCAGGCCTTGCTGCAGTCAGTTTTTCCAACTGCCCCTCTCCACAAAGGAGAAATCTTGCCATAGTCATTTTTAAGCTCATGGAATAACTCTCTCTCTCTAGCTCTAAAATCACCTGACACCAAAGCTGCAATTCTCCAGTCACTGCTTTCTCCTGAGCTAATGAGTCCCACACCAAAAGACTTCTTTTTCTCCTCTGACTGAATTGTGTTCCACCAGTTCAGGCTTCCAGTTTTATGAGGGTTTCCAGTAGGGGAAAAAATCCCTTCGTGGTTTTCTTTCCTGGCATGGAAGAGACTTCCTTTCCTGCCAGACAAGGAGCAAATCGAACATCTTCATCAGTTGCAATAGTTTCTGAACAATCCTCAGCATATTTTGCCTTTGCAGGAGCAGCTGCTCAGCCTGAGGACAGGGGTGCAGCAGAGCATACAAGGTGAGCACACAGCTTAAAGACAGAAGTAGCTCCACTGGTAGTGGTGCACATCTCTGAAATCCATGTCAGTGTTACAGCAGCTAATTTAACACTACAGCAGAGGATGATGCTGTTTGAGAAGTGCTATAGAATTACAGAGTGAGAGCAGGATTGCCTGTTAACAGGTACACTAGGACCCATAAGCACCAGAGGCCAGGACAGAGGATCCTGTGCTGTGTACCTATAAGGACATACTCAGCATCCTGTGGGCTCTTATTACAATACTGGACTTTGCAGTGAACACCTGGAAGCAATTTGAGGATTAGGATCTGTTCCAAAACCAACGGGGGAAAATAAAAAACCCACCCAACAAAACGCTGAAACTTGAGAAGGAGGTTCCTTGTATTGTAAGACTACTAACACAATGGCTGCTGAAAGAAACTTCAGGTTTCTTGTCTTTGCCAGGCTATGCCAAGCTTCGTTTGCTTTCCTAAAGAATGGTTAGTGTCCACATTTGAGAATAAAAGAAGTGACTGATGTCAGTGGTAGCCAAACGTGGCAGGAGCTCCCAGAAAACTGAAACAGATGATGCAGCAGTGTACAGGTCAGAACTAGTGTGACAAGTTTCCACACAAGGACTTTCCTTCAGGTTTTGTGTTTACACATGTAAGGAAAGGCACAGAAGAAAACAGTTTTCCTGCAATATGATGTGTCCACCCTCCAGCCAACAGCATGCCCTTGGCCTGGAAGCTGCTACAGGCTGTTCTGGGAGACTGTAATGACTGGTGGACCACATTATCCTCTCCCCATACAAAACCCTAAGGATAAAGAGGGAGAAGAAAAACTTTCTCAATCCAAGTTATGAAAGCAGAACTACATGGCCCGAGCTAACCTACTCTCACAGAGAAACCCACTGTCTTTGGCAGTGTTCATCTGGTTTCTGTACCTCACTGTGGTAGTGTTTTTAATGCTCAGATTTGCTGGTGATTCAGTATGTGCTGAAATCATGCTCGTTTTGCTTTGCTCTTTTTCCCCTTAATCCTTAATTAAAACCTTAAGAGTGGACAAGAAAATATGCTCAAGTCTATTGTGATACTGTCTTGCAAAGTGGAATCATTGATTTTAAATTCAAAATTGACATTCTATTTGTCCATTCCCTCTCCCCACTCACACACCCCTACCTCCACATTCTCAGGAAGATCTTCAAGCATAACTTTAAACAAAACTCTCTCTTCTCTAGTCATATCTTCAGCCAGTGCTTGTCAGGGACAGGCAATGACTGTCTGGGATGAGCTTTCCTCTCCTTCTGGGCTCTTTACACTTCAGCTTAGAACCCACGAAAGCAGAGGAAGGCACAGTCATGACTTCATACACAACTTTTCAGTGGTCATCTGTCAGAGCCAGACACTGAACACAGGCAGGGGAAGGGTACATGGAACCTGTGGGTAAGGGGCTGCTGTAGTGGAGAGACTGCTCTGACACAAGAACAGTAAGTGGGATTCAAGCAGGAGAACCACTTTTCCTCTCCTTCTGTAAGCTGTATGACCCAGTTTGCTGGCTTATTGTGACCCAGCTGCTGTTTGTGTCTACAGACTCTCTGAAAGAGCTGAACACTTTTTTCTGTACAGCTCCTAATCCAAAACAGCCACTCCAAAGTGTTCATTCCTAACCCTCTATGGACTTCAAGTTCCCAAGCCATAAAGAAGAGAGCCAAAATTCAGTGATTTCAGAGAGGTGAGGAAGTTTTGCCAGCAGATACACAGCATAGGAAGCGATGCTACAAAAGCAGTTGGTGCAACAATTAGAAAATTATTCTTGGTAACAGCCTTGGGGACACCTCTTGCAGTCTATTGGGACAACTTCTCTGACAAAAAGCCCCTTTACCTGTTTATTAAAAGCTCCTGATACAGAGCAGTTTCCCTTTCAAAAACCTGGAACTCAAGTAAACCTCAGTGTTAACCTCCATAAACAGCAGCTACAGATCCTTCCCAAACAGCACCAGAGCTCACCCACTGTCCCTGTGAGGTGATGGTAATTTCAGCCACAAAGTGCCCTAGAAAACCACTGGTCACATTGGAACTGACATTTCTTAGCAATTAGCACTTCTAAGAGGTAACATTTACTTCTGTGTTTGCATATCCTGTTCCAGGTTTCAATTTCTATAAGTCATTTCACATAGGGCTGGTCTCCACTGCTGCAGCAGATGGCAAAAACTGCCAAGTAGTAAGAAAAAAAAGCATAAAACCTGTTTTATAGCCTACATGTATTGAAAAAATGGCAGAATGACATAGAACTGAGTAATGTTTTATGGAAACTACTACCATACTCCGAATTGCAGTAGCATTCCAGTTCCTAATCTCTCAGTTGTCTAGACAGGGCACATAATGCATTTGTCTTTAATGAGATATGAATTAATTTGCCTTGACATACCTCAAAAACCTCTGTAATACTTTCCAGCAGTGCAAACTCTTACTGCTGCCCTGCCAAGTACGCAGCACTCATAAAACTGAGAACCACTGTTAAAAAAAGACACACTAAAAGGAGCAGATGTGAGCTGCACACTGTGGTATGGGTCACATCCCAGTGCTGTGTGGGAACCTCAGCTATTTGGGTGGCTGCTCAGCACCAGTGTGACTTCTGAGCTCCAAACTAATAAATAAAAAAACACAAGTCATTCCCTCACTTCTGTCTTGAACCTCTCCATAGAGCTAATCTCACCTGATTCCTTTTCTCCCATTCCCCAGAAACATTTCACTTGGAAGAATTTAATTTCTGGCTCCCCACATTACACAATAGAAATGGATGCAAAATATGTCTACATGACGTAAGTGCAGGTGGCTTAAAGGCACTGCAGCTTGGCTTTAGGTACCAAAAGCAACATTGCTTGGTGCCACTCTACACACTCAGTCCATAATGTTTTCCAAACACACAGAGACTCTAATCTTCTCAATCCACAATTAGAGAAGGAATATTCTTTAGTTACACCATCAGAGACCCAACCCCAACTAATTTCTACAGCTGTGAAGAATGATTAGCCACCACAATCAAGTCAAAGGCATTATGAACATCACCAGAGATGCGTTCCAGTGCTAAGAAGATGAGTAAGTTTGGCTTTATACACCAGGTTTGAAGATGATGACCATGTTTGCTTGGAAAAAACATTTGGATTGCCTTCTTTACACACAATTTCATTATTAAAAAGCACTGTATATAAACAGCAGTATAAAAATATGAGCTAAAAGAAGGAAACTTTAGAGGATGATGCACTCATTTCAGGTTTTATGTCCATTAAAAATAGAAACTACTGCCATATTTTTTTCTGTTTTTCAAAGTTTGATAAAATCCTTACAGAGCTTCTTCTGTGAAGGAACTGGAAGTAAGTTACTTTAAAAAAAATCCTGGGCATAGTAAACTAAATCAAGCCACAAGCTATTAGTCAGATGAAGCTATCAGGAAACACTGGCAAGATCTGTCTTAGTAAGAGCATAAAGGAAGTCCATTTTGGTGGGACTGTAACCAAAGAAAACTTTGCAGTTCTTCTGAGTAGTGGTACGTGCCAAACTTCTCATGTGGCTACTGATGTTTAGCATATGTACCTGTGTTTGCAAGACTCAGCTAAAGAGTGTTCTTGATCTTTCAAATGGCTTAGCTTAAACAACTGTATTTCCAGTTGTCCATCACTAGGCTACACTGAAAAGCAAACAGAGCTGCATATTGTTCCACAGACTCCTCACAGGAGACAACTGGGATTTATTTTCTAGTGGCAAAAGTCTATAAAGCCAAGTTTTTATGAACTCCAGGATCACAGAGAGAACATACATGAGGCACTGTCATACTAAGGGCTTATTCACACTCACTGGAAAGGGCTGTGCAACTCTCTTTGCTACTGGAGTACAACATGAACATCTGACAGACCAAGTGAATGCTCAGATTGAGTGCCTCAGTTAACCACAGGGCTGAGACTCTGCTTCCAGTTCATAATACAACATTCCTAAGTCAAATTAATTAAACTAAACCATCTTTGACTGCTTATCCCAAGGGATCTGTGTTTTAAAGCTTTCCTAAATTTTGCTAGGTCAGCTCTATCACCACCTTCTGACCAATGAACCCAAAGTATGTGTTTGGTTTTTGAAAGGAAAAAAAGTGCTCACTTACATGATTCCTTTTGTTTTCTCCATCTTTTATGGATGTAATAACTGTCTCAGAAAAAACTGTCGATCCAGTTTTGTTATCTGTAACCTGATATGGCAAATGAAGAGCAGAATATTAAACACATTTTTTACTAGTTTATTAGTTTGCTATTCTCAGTCCTACATTCCACAGTAATTACCCCACTCCCACCCCTACTTTTTTCCCATTTTGCTGTCACTTGTATTAAACCCTAATCTGAGGGGGAAAAGTAGATGACCAGTCTACCTCCTTAGCTAATTCAGATCCACTGGAATGAAGCTCTCTGAGCAGGAGGTGGTCATTCTTTTAAGACCCATGGAACAGCTGTAGCTGTGCTCTATTTTCAGTAGGTATTTTTCCCAAAATAAATTATCATTTCACATTAACCTTTTATGACACATGTTCCTACACAGTGATTAGTAGGTATTTTTCCCAAAATAAATTATCATTTCACATTAACCTTTTATGACACATGCCCCTACACAGTGATTAGGCAGGTATATAAGATACAATAAACTCTGAAGTAAATATCAGGAAAGTTTATGCTCCAGATTATTTTCAAAAAAAACCCATCAAAAACTGTTTTTATTTTTGAAGGAAAGGTGTGTAAGAATGAACACCTCACCATATATATGTTTTCTATTACCTTATCAATTTCTTGATGAGTTTGAACAGTTCTGTTACCAATTCTGGTTTCCGTGTTGGACTCGTTGTGGTAGTTGGGAGGTAAGTTTTCAAACTTTACTTCCGACAGTTTTTTTGCCCCTTCCTCTTCAGCTTCCATCTGTTGAATGGAAAAAAAAAAAAGAATAAATTAAAAAAAACCCCAAAGCTTCCAAACAACTGAAAATTAGAGAAAGTGACACAGAAGTGAAGAAGCAACACTCTTCTCGTGCAGCCCCAGGAACACCCTGGCTCACATGCAATGTTGTTGGTGCAGATGCCCCTGGATGAGAACACTTACTCAGCTGCTTCAGGCAGTGACCACAGCAGCTCTAATGGACCAGAAAAACAGTGCTGAGCTAAACCCTTAAACAACACTCTGGGCTGCTCAAGCCAGTCAGTCCCTGTGAGGAGAGAGTGTGCAGATTAATGACAATCTCATATCTGCACAGTCAAGAGCCCAGTTTTCTATTTTTTGTAGAAAACTACTGAAGACTTAAGACAGACTTTCCTATCTGACAAAGAAGAGAAAATACACTGGCAGGACAGAGAGGCACATACAAAGCCCCTTGAAGCCAACAGAAGCAATGCTACAGATGAGGGTGATACACCCAGAATTTCATTCTCTACTTCAGTTCCCACTGTCTTTGTTTGCCACATGAAGAAGGGCATGAGCCTTGCAAACAACACAAACTCGGAATAAATCCCGTCCCTTTGTTATTTGCAACCACTGTAACAGAGCTACGAGGCCACAAGTTCAACCAGCCTGAACAACAGAATTCTCTCCCAAGACAAAATTTCTCTTTCTGGTGTGTCTGTTTATTTTAAACAACAGCTGCAAACCTTTTTAAGTGTAAAGCATTTCTCTGCTAAGACACAGCTCAGACAATCTGACCATGGGAAGAGGAGAACAGGCAGAAATTTTGGCTGCATCCTTATTTATAGTTAATCATATTTGCAGCATGTCAAGGATGATTTGTCTCCATGTGTTTGCAGTCTAAATGCAGATGACAGAGGTAGATTCCAGCAACTGTCCAGATGACAGTAGAAATTCAGGGATTACCTAACTGTAGTAAACCAAGGTGGGTTTCTCCAGCAGGTTGTCCGTTAAAGGTTTTTTTGGACTATGTGTTTTTGAATTAGGGGAAAAGAGAACCTGGAAGGAAGATTTGAGGAGGTGGTGGATTCACCATCCCTGGAGGTTTCCAAGCTGAGACTGGATGTGGCACTTAGTGCCATGGGCTAGTGACCACGGTAGGGTTGGACTTGATGATCTTGGAGGACTTTTCCAACCTGGTTGATTCTATGATTCTTAACATGAAGGGGAAAAAAGAAAGGGGAGCAGAGGGACGAGGTCTTTAGACATTCAGACAATGGCTCAAGTCCCTCCTCAGCTCCTGGCTTCGAAGCAGGTCCGTGTGTGACTCTGGGCCAGCAATTTGCGATCACGGCACGGAATTACATCGCAGGTACTGTAATAATCTCCCCGTGCATTTCAGGCCCGGCAGCTCTGAACCGCGGGCTGGGACAGCCGCGTGTGTCTGTGATCTGCTGCACAAAGGCAAAGAAAGTCAACTGCTCCCCTCACACCTCCCCTCGTACAGCTGCTTTCACTGAGGGGGCGAGAAGGAGCTTTGCCTGCGCCTCGGCCTCGCTG